AAGGGAAAATTTTTAAACTCCCCATCCTCTTGCTTTGCTTGACTGCTGAGATCCAGTGAGAGTGGCCTGAACTTCTCATAGCTGAACCAACAGAGGCACAGACTCCTCCCCGCTATCCCCACCTCAGGAAGCCACAGCCAGGTGGAGGAGCTCCTCAGGTACAGCCAGGGAGGTGAGGCATCTCAAACTGGCCTTGGCTGCTGCTTCTTAAGGTTCTTAGCCAGCCTCCTCTGAATGCAAGCTGTGGCTCTGGGGCTTGTCCCAGTCCCCTGAGTTCTTACCATGGACCATGGAATGCATATGGAGGACAAGGTTCCCAGGGCCCTGGACCACACCATCTGAGCCTTTCTGCCCCCCCAGGGCAAGTGCTTCCTCCATTATTGCTAATCTGAGATGATGTACTCTGATGAGACAGCGTTTTCTCCCCCTGCGTTGTGCTGAGTTACTATGGCAACACTTTCAGAAGAGGTGAATTTGCTTTTTCCTCTTAATTCTGAAATGCTCTCAGGCTTTCCAAAAATATCCTTATTTCCTTGGGTCCTACATGTCGGACACACAGAAAATACAGCCATCTCCTCCGCCATGTATATATTATACCAAGTAGCTCAATGCACAGCTATTGATTGGGTACACTTTTTTTTAATAAAAAATATTTTTAGCATCTGCTCTATGTCAGTAGATGTGCTAGGCACTGGGATTCAAAGAGAAGTTAGACTCAACTCATATCCTATAAGTGCTCACAGTCCCTAAGAAAAATAGATAAGTACACAGCTAACTATAATGTAACATAAGTACACATCTAACTATAAGGTAATGTAACATAACATAATATATTGTAAAGTAATATAATATAATGTACTATAATACATGCAATATAATAAATATAATATAATGTAATGAATATTTTATCAGTTCTAGGAATAAATTAGCATTTATTCCTTTCTCTACTGGGAGAGAAAGCTGTTTCTCTCCCAGTAGAGAAAGCTGTTAATTCAGCCTGGAGTGAGGAGGGTTAGGAGTTGGTAGATCTGGAGTTTGATTCCTGATCACTTACATACGAGCTGTGCCAGCTCAGGGAAATGAACATCCCTCTCTGAGCTCCAATCCTCCATCTCATCCTGAGCTGTTGTGAAAATAAGGGGACACCACAAAGTTACAACAGCCAGTCCCGGAGCAGCTGTTACTCGAAAGACACTGCTCCTCCCTGCCCAGGTGCTGGGGTGCCCAGAAGGGGCTCAGGAGAGGAAGTGAGCATAGACAGAGGGACCCGCAGGCAGCGAAGAGGCAGGCCAGCACTTCCATCAAAGTCAGTCGCGCCAGCAGCAAGGCGGCCACGTGAGCACACCTGACACATCAGTTCGGGGGGAGATAGGACAGCCAGTGTGGCCAGTGCGGGGAACTGGATCTGAACCCATTGCCATCCTTGGGCTCTGGGTGGGAGCCCTTTTGAAAGCTTCCGCTGAACCAGAAAGATAGCACAGCGGTAAAGTGCTTACAAGGGAGTCACCGCAACAAACATGAACACTGCTCTAAAAATTAGCATGCACTTTGGGAGGCCGAGGCGGGCCGATCACCTCAGGTCGGGCGTTTGAGTCCAGCCTGACCAACATGGAGAAACCCTATCTCTACTAAAAATACAAAATTAGCTGGGCGCGGTGGTGGGCGCCTGTAATCCCAGTTACTTGGGAGGCTGGGGCAGGAGAATTGCTTGAACCGAGGAGTCGGAGGTTGCTGTGAGTGGAGATCAGACCACTGCATTCCAGCCTGGGCAACAAGAGCGAAACTCTGTATTTAAAAAAAAAAAAAAAAAATTTGCATGCACTCAGCTTAGGTCCCAGTGTCATTGTGCCTGGTCACATTTGGAGTGCCGTAGGTGTGCCCTTTTACCTTCCACCAGCTTAGATGCTCTTTGAGGGAAGAAAGCAGCCCTCTTTGTCCTGCGCAATGTAAGGACATGCAGGTGACCACTTTCAGGGATTCCAGAGAGGGTTATGTCTTCTTTGCCATGTGTTCCTGTGTCCTCGCCTGTCAAACAAGGGTGACAATAGTACCCACCTCATAGGGTTGCGATAATAAAACCCAATCATGCCTGTAATGTGCTCAGCCCATACCTGGCACAGAGCAGGCTCTCAATAAATATTAGCTTTCATTTTTATTTCATCCACCTCATTGTAAATTGAAGACTCTCCAGCATAGAAACATCAGCCAAGGAGAGTGGCAAGTACTGATATCCAGTAGCAAATCTTGCCCTTAACTGCAGCCTGCATGGGCGAGCAGCACAGAAAGGCTTGGGAGCTCCCTGTGCATTGGAAAGCTTAATGAAAGGGCAGATTATGTTTTTTCAGCAAAACAGCCAGATTCGGAGGCCAATTCTCTGCAGGATGTCACCCCAACGTGTTGCAGGGCTGGGCAAGTTAACGAGAAAGCCTTTGGGATTTGGGGATCGGAGGAGGCCTGGACGCCATTCCCAGGTGTGTGATGTGAGTGATCTTAGGCGGGGTGCTCCATGCCCCGTCCAGCAGGCACTCACTGTAGATGCGTGGGCACTGATTCCAGCCTTCAGCCCCCTGTCTGTAGAAAGAGGCAGACCCCACCCACTGATAACCTCTACAGGGAGTAGAAAATAATTTCTCACTTCCAGATGTGACCAAAGCAGGGACTCTTTGGAGCTCTCTATTTCCACCTCCATCAGGATGAGCACACGGACCACATAGAGAGCAGCAGCTGCTTAGTACCCCCGGGAGAAAAGCTTGGCCACATTCATCAGCAAAAGCCTATGTACCTGGCTTCTGTGCAAAATTCTGCCCATTAGCTCTTGTCACCTTTAGCACGTGCTGTGCTCCAGGCGCTGTGCTGAGCACCAGGGGACTGTGATGGTTCATTTAAGGTGTCAACTTGGCTGCACCCTGGGATGCCCATGGTGTGTCCATGACAGTGTTTCTGGATGAGGTTAGCGTTTGAATCCGTGGACCCAGTAAAGCAGATGATCCTCCCCAATGTGGGTGGCATCAACCAGTCCACTGAGGGAGAAGGAAAGAGGAATTCGCCCCTTTTATCTCCTGCCTGCCTGCTTCAGCTGAGACATTGGCCTTCTGCTCTTGGACTGGGTTTTGCCACCCTAGCTCCTCTGGTTCTCAGGCCTTTGGATTTAAGACTGAATTATGCCACCAGCTTCCCTGGGTCTCCAACTTGCTGGTGACAGATGGTGGGGTTTCTCAGTCTCCATAATTGCGTAAGCCAATTCCTCATAATCTCTTCATATATGTATGTATGTGTGTGTGTATATATATGTGTTATTAGTTCTGTTTCTGTTCATATATATACATATTGGTTCTGTTTCTGTTTCTCTGGAGAACCTGGTCTAATACGGGTTTGATAGAGACTATTGATTTCTATAATCCTGGAATATTGCAGAGTATACCATGATACTCGGGCAGTTTGAATTTAGTTTCTGGTTCTCTGGAAATATTTAAATTGTCAAAGCTTCAGTTATAATACCTGTGTGGTGGGAAGACACCACCTCCACCTCACTGTGAGACACACCATGATTAGCCAGGGCAGGCACGGGGTGTGCATGAAACTGGACAACTGGCAGCCCAGTCTGGAGCTGGCGCAGTCAGCCTGGGCAGACAGGCGGCTTTCGAAGGCTTCAGCCTCCTGCACTGGCTTCAAAGGCCCAGGACTCAGAGGCTGACATCTGACCAGGGACCTCCATGAGTTACTCATGTAATGGTGTTGAGGGCCTTGATGATGTGGAATTGCACGCCACAAAATCCTGCTTTTTTATTAAGTTTTAAAGGACCTCAATATGTATTATTTTAGAGAGGATGGCTTTCTACTTTGAGATCCCTTCTTCCCAGCAAACACCAATCAACCTTTATTTTTACAGCCTGGAAGTTTGTTTTGATGCTTTTGGCACAGACATCTCACTAAGGAGAAGTCTTCAAACCTGTGCTCGTTAGCATTTCTTCCAGGGCCTTCCAAAGACCCCTGGGAGGAAATTCACAGAGCATGCTATTGTCCTGCTTCCACTTAATATTCCACAGCGGAGAGCCCTGCCCCAGGAAGAGGGGTTGACTTTTGTACTAAGCCAGGCAGATTTACTGAAATGCACCCCCAGACCTCACCTCCATTTGTAGCCAGGGCTAAACCAAGAGCCTGTAATGTAGGAACTCTGTGGACAAATGAGGGTTTTCCACTGTGGAGGGCACTCAAGTTGTGCCCCTTGGAATTGTCCCTTTTCCTTGGTAATTAAGTCGAGGTGCCTAGAGTCCTACGTTCTTTACCTGGTTGTTTACTTTTTAAATAATTGATTGCCTACCTCAGTGTGTCATGAGCCAGGTAGCCATCCTTCCCTTGGATCACTGGAGCTGACCTCAGCCCAGCCTGCCTTTTCTGGAGCCGGTTACCTATCGCTGCCTCATTCTTCTTCTGCACCATCTAAAGATCTCTCCTTTTCTCTCTCCTTGAGGAAGCCCATGGCAGATAAAACTGAAGCCAGGTTTGTAGAAATGCAAGTCCTCAGGGAGGAGGAGATACTTGAGGCATGTCCCAGGAAACCCAGATTCTGATTTGAACTGGATTGCAAAGGTTCATTCACCAGTGTACATGAAGTCTCTCTCTCTCTCTCTCTCTCTGTCTCTCTCTCTCTCTCTCACACACACACACACACACACACTGCACTGACCCCTCCTACTCCTTGCTAGCTGAGGGACTAACCTTGGGCAAATCACTTAACCCTTTCTAGGGGCAGTTTCTGCATCCCCTTTTGTTAAAGGCATGGATAGAAATTACCCCACCAGAGTCACTGGCAGTTCTGAAGATTCCGATGGAAGGTGTGCAGGGGAGTAGCTGCATGCCCTGCATCCTCGTGGGGTGCACCTATATCACCTTAGTTTCTTCATCCCTAGGGTGGTAGGGTCTCTGAAAGGCAGCTAAACCACTGTGAGTTAATGACTGCTGCACTGTGAAGGTCATTGATCATTGTCTGCCATTTGCAGAGACAGCTGAGCTCACTCTGAGCCTTCGGTGATGTGCTGAGAAGGGGAAGCAACATCCAATGAGGTTTGTATTAGTCCATTATCATGATGCAAATAAAGACATACCTGAGACTGGGTAATTTATAAAGGAAAGAGATTTAATTGACTCATAGTTCCACATGGCTGGGGAGGCCTCAGGAAACTTACAATCATGGCGGAAAGGGAAGCAAACACATTTTTCTTCACATGATGGCAAGAAGGAGAAGTGCTGAGCAAGAGAGGGGAAAGCCCCTTTATAAAGCCATCAGATTGTGTGAGAACTCACTATCACGAGAACAACAGCATGGGGGTAACTGCCCCGGTAATCCAGTTACCTCCCACCAGGTCCCTTCCACAACACGTGGGGATTTAGGGAGCTACAATTCAAGATGAGATTTGGGTGGGAACACAGTCTTTTCACTCTCCCTCTGTGGCCCATGTCTCCCTTCAAGGCTTCATCACCAGGGGTCTTTCTCCTATAGTGAAATGCAAGTAAGCCCCTGTCTCTTCTCTACCTTCCCTGGATTTGGTGGCATAAACTCAAGTGTTCTGATTGCCATCATTGCTACTACTGTCACCCCAATTAAGCCATGAACACACACACTTCCCCCTGGGGATCCCCAGTCTTTGACCAGCTTGCCACAGTCCCAGCCCTCTCTCCTGAAGGGGTTCAGCTGGCAGCCTGTGGACCCAGCCTTTTGCCACCCTGAGGGATGGTGCCCCTCAACCTTGGGAAGCTGGGCCCTGGTCTGTGGTGAGTGAGAGCCCCAGATGTCTCAGCAGGAGACCAGCCCCATGGGGAGTGTGGAGAGCTACAGGGAGGTGGGGCACACAGGGTGCTCTGCCAGGGCTGATGGACGTCTCCTTGTGCCTGTCCAGCCCTGGGTCTTCATCACAAAGGACTTTTGCTGAAATCAACCACCTTGAGCCTCAGCTCCAGGGCATGCCTGGGAGAGCCATGTGAATGTGGCCTCACAGAGAGGTGAAGGGAGACCTGGTGTGAAGGGAGAAGCTCTCTTTGCAGTTGCCTCTGACTCAGACTCCACACTGATCATGCAGGGCTCAAGAGAGCCCCCAGGTCGGAATGGACATCAGGGTTAAGGTGGGAGATGTGAATGGAAAGGCCTGGGACCTGGAGAGCCGTGCCACGCTGCTGGAGACTTCCTTCTGAGCACTTCCTCAGGAAAGCTGTCACATGTTCTGCAGGCCCTCTGCAGGCCTGTCGAAACGCCACAGTGATCTCGGCTGTGGGCCGAGGTCCACTGAGTCTCCATTTGCCAAGCACCTTTGTCATACATGCAGTAAAATCTTGGCGCTGTAGAAAGAGCTTGGGACATGGAGGCAGATGTGGTTTGGGGTCCAGCCTGACCCTGGGCACTGGGGCCTCAGCTGAGAGACTGTGCAGTTGGAAGGCCACCACCACCTCCCAGGGGCCCTGAGGACTGCATGGAATGGCGAACGCTGGGCTTGCCACAGCGCCTGGCTCAGAGCAAATGCCGCAGTCTCCTTCCCAGGTGTGCTTTTGATTTACTTGCTAATATGCATACCGGAAGATTGTTTTGGTGGAGGGGATGATATGGTTCTCTAACTGGTAACAGATGCACAGAACCCTGTGACCATGACCACAATCAAAATTTAGAACTTTCTATCGCCCCAAAATATCTCCTTCTGCTGTCTCTTGCAGCCAACCACCCCCTACTGCACACACCCCTGTCTCTGCTGTTGTCCACCCCATTGTTTTTTGCATCATCCAGAATACCATCTAAATGGCTTTTCCCATATAGCTTCATTCAGGTAACCTAATGCATTTGAGATTCACCCATGTCATTGTGAATATGACATGGATATCAATAACTTCATCATTTTTATTGTCAAGTGGAATTCTATTGGGTGAATGTAGACAGTTCACCCATTTACCAGTTGAAAGACACTTGCATTGTTTCCAGTGTGGGGCAGTTATGAATAAAGCTATTGTAAACATTTGCACACAGGTTTTTGGTGAACATCAGTTTTTATTCCTCTTGGGTAAATATGTAGAAGTGGGATTTCTGGGTCATATGATAAACATATGTTTAACTTTGTAAGAACTGGCTTAACTGTTTTCTTTAAATGGCTGCATAATTGCTTCCCATAGCAAGGTACAAGAGTTCTGGTTGCCCTACTTTCTCATCAGAAATTAGTAACACGAGGGTTTTTTGTTTTTTTTTTAAGTTTAGCCATTGTGGTAGATGTGTAGTGTTATCTCATGGTAGTTTTAATTTACATTTCCCTAATTAATGATGATGAGCACCTTTTCAAGTGTTTATTTGCCGTCTGTGTATGTATCTCTTGTTCAGGGATATATTTCCTATTTAGCTGTTCAGATCTTTTACCTATTTTTAAAAGTGAGTTGTTTTCAAACCCCATTAAAAAGTGGGCAAAGGACATGAACAGATACTTCTCAAAAGAAGACATTCATGTGGCCAAGAAACCTATGAAAAAAAATTCAACATCACTGATCATTAGAGAAATGCAAATCAAAACCACAATGAGATACCATCTCACACCAGTCAGAACAGTGATTATTAAAAAGTCAAGAAACAACAGATGCTGGGAAGTTTGTAAAGAAAAATAATGCTTTTATACTGTTGGTGGGAGTGTAAGTTAGCTCAACCATTGTGGAAGACAGTGTGGCACTTCCTCAAAGATCTAGAAGCAAAAATACCATTTGACCCAGCAATCCCATTATTGGGGCTATACCCAAAGGAATATATAATAAATTATTCTATTGTAAAGATACATGCATGCATATGTTCATTGCAGCACTATTCACAATAGCAAAGACATGCAATCAATCCAAATGCCCATTGATGATAGACTAGACAAAGAAAATGTGGTACATATATGCCATGGAATACTACACAGGCATAAAAAGGAATGAGATCGTGTCCTTTGCAAGAACAAGGTTGGAGCTGGAAGCTGTTATCCTCAGCAAACTAACACAGAAACAGAAAACCAAGCACTGAATGTTCTCACTTATAAGTGGGAGCTGAACGATGAAAACACATGGACACATGTGGGGACACTGGTTTCAGTGTTCTTTATACATTCTACTTACAAGTTTTTTTTGTCAGATAGATGATTTGTAAATATTTTCTCCCAGCCTGTGGCTTGTCTTTTCATTCTCTTGATGGTGTTTTTCATGGAGAAAACTTTTATAATTTTAATAAGATCCAGTTTGCAGTGTTTTCTTGTATGGATTATGCTTTTGATGTTGGAGCTAATAACTCTGCCTAACACAAGGTTACAGGCATTTTTCTCTTACGTATTTTCCTAAAGGTGTTATAGTTTTATGATTTCATTTAGGTCTAAGATTCATTTTGAGTTTTTGGTATGAGGCATGAGTTTTGTTTTATTGCTGCAGCTGTTTTGTAATTTTTGTGTAAGAGATTGGGTTCCAAGTTCACATATCTATCTCTCTATATATTGTTGCATATTGATGTCCACTTGTTCCAGTATCATTTGTTGAAAAGACTATCCTTTTTCCATTGAATTGCCTTTGCAATTTTTTCAAAAATTAATTGGCCATATTATGTGCATCTCATTTCTGGAGCTTCTATTTAATGTGTGTATCCATCCTTTTGCTAACACTACACTGTCTTGATAACTGTAGCTTTATTATAAGTCTTGAAATACGGTAGCATGAGCTCACCAAATTTGTTTTCTTTCTCAAAATTGTTTTGATTATGCTTAGTCCTTTGCCTTTGCAAATAAATGTTTGAATCAGCTTGTTGGCATCAACAAACATTCCTGCTGGGATCTTCATTGGGATGGCATTGAGGTTCTACATCAATTTGAGGAGAATTCACATCTTAACAATATGGAGTCTTTGATTTCATGACCATAGTATTTCTCTCCATTTATTTAGATTTCTTTGCTGTTTCATCAGTATGCTGCTTTCATGAAGCATTCGGATCCTGCACGTATTTGTTAGATCTAGGCTAAATATTTTATTTTTTGGTGTTGTTGTAAATAGTGCTTTTTGGCTAAAGTTCATATTGTTTGTTGCTTGAGTGTGGAAATACAATTGATCTTTTAATATTGACCTTGTGTTCTCTGACCTTTTAAAATTCAGTTATTAGTTATATGATGTTTTGGAAATTCCTTGAGATTTTCTGTATAGACAATCATGTCTTCTGCAATTAGAGACAGTTTTATGTCTTCTTTATATATAAGGCATCTATGTATATATGACTTTTATTTCTTTTTCTTGCTTTATTGTACTAGCAAAAACTTTCAGTGTGATTTTGAATGGGAGTGGTGAGGTTAGACATCCTCTCGTATTCCCTAGATCGTAGAGGGAAGCTTTCACTCTTTCACCATTAGGTGTGATGTTAGCTATAGGTTGTTTGGTTTTGTTTTCTAGATGTTCTTTGTCAGATCCAGGAAGTTCCCTTCTATTTCTATTTTACTAAGTGTTTTAAATCATGAGTGGATGTTTACTTTTGTCAAATGTTTTTTCTGCATCTACTGATATGACTGTTTTGTTTCTTCGTAGTTCTGTCAGTGTGGCATAAATTATATGGATTGATTTTTTTTTAATGCTGAATATTTGAATGCTTTGCATTATCTTGTTTATATATTGCTGGATTTAATTTGCCAGTATCTCGTCGACTGCTTTTTGTCTGTGTTCAATCGAGATATTGATCCACAGTTTTCTGCTTTTGTAATGTCTTTGATTTTGTTAGCAGAGTAATGCTGCCTCATTAAGATGATTTGGGAAGTGTTCCATAAAATGAGTTGGTAAAGGTTCCCTCCTCTTATTTTTTGGAACAGAATGTCTACAACTGGTGTTTTTCTTCTTCATATTTTTGGTAAATTCTTCAATAAAATCATTTGATGATTTTTCCCAGGAGATTTTAAACTAAAATTTTAATTTATTTAATAGCTAAAAGGACTGTGTGGTTTATCTTTTTCCCTTGAGTAAGTTTTGGTAGCTTGTGTTTTTTAAGGAATTGGTTCATTTCACCTACATTGTCAAACCTATGGGTATGTAGTTGTTTTTAA